AAAGTTGTTTTATACTGATTAAACAATGCACAATATTAAAAGAACTTACCTTTAAGTAACTCATAATTTGGTTTTTACACAGCTAGAACTATAAACAGCATACAAGTGACAATATCACATAACTGAGTCAAGAAATAAGAAAAAGAGTTAGGCAAACAGAATCTATATTGGCCAAACGATCTAACAATGGCCAAATACTGCTGTCGTTACTGAATAATAATGACTCAGATCTTGAAGCAGTCTACACTGCAAAGATTAAAAACCTACAGCATAGGAGATAATATAACAATCAGAGATTTCAACAAGCAAATAAAATGTCTGGCAGAGAAAAGGATATCAGATACTCTGACATCTGGGTTTTTGCTTTTTAGGGTTTTTCCACAAAGATTCACCCAAATATTGGAGGTTTTAAGCATTTTCCCTCTCCTTCAGATGCACTAATTTTGTATTAAAAATTGAAATAAATAAAATAACAGAAATTCCTTTAGGAGGGAATAAGATCATTGTTATAGAGCAGAAAAATATTTACTAACATATATTTTACTGTAATCATGTTTTCCCTAAAAAAATTCTGTATTTGCTTTCCTCAGTCTTTTGCTTCAAATTCTTAACAACGGATACCATCTTGAAATTGACTTTAGAATTCTAAAACACACATGGCAAGTGTCAAAGAGTGGTCAATAAAATAGAACAAAGCAAAGTAAAATAAAAGAGGTGTTTAAACTGTGTAGGTAACTCATAAAATGTAGATGACATGGAAGGGAAGGGAAGATAGATCTGAGAAGGGAAAAAGCTAATTCACACCACGGGGACCTCCCAGCTTGCCCCAGGGCAATCCTAAAATTATGGGTGGAACACTTTGGTACTGGCACTGAAAATGGATGGAATCTACTTCTGGTAAGATTCTTTGGCATAAATCTCCATCCTGTGTGCCACAACTGACTATTTTTCACTGTTTTATGTTCTTAGAAAGCTTCTTTGCAAGGCAGTATGTATGTTCGTATCTGTACCTAATCTGATCTTCATCCTGTGAGGAAGACATGCCTTCATTAAACCTCAATTTTAGGAACCTCTCTTTAAAGTAGTCCTCTTTCCTATGAAAATGCCAGTTCCCTTTCATTCTCTTTCTCACTGCCTATCTTGTTGGATCTTCTCTTTTCTTGCCTTCTATTAGAACAATTCTGGTGCAAGGAAAGGGCAGTTGGTGCCAAGGCTGAAGTTCAAGTTACTGAGCATTTCTGAGCTTAGGAGGAAGGATAAAAGGTTGCTTTTCTCCATCTATGGTACCCAGAACAGTTCCATAAATGACAGCAATCAAATGCAAGTCTGAAGTTATTTTTATAACGTATACTATGACTAAAGAATCTCTAACTAAATTGTCTTTTCATAATCAAAGTAATACTGTCTTTTCCCATTACTTCTACTGTGGGATGGTTTCCTCTCAATCCTTGTCTTGGGGTGACCCTCCTGGTTGAGGGGAAGGGTAGTTGGCCTAACTTGACCCTCAGCCCTGGTAGTGCAGTGATTCTCACACTTTAGCATCCATAAGAATCACCTTGAAAAGCTTGTTAAAAACGCAGTGCCCTGGATCCTATACCCAAGGAATCTGATTCAGGTCTGGTATGGAACCTAGGAATCTTTTAATATAGTTACCCAATATAATTTTAATGTTTGTGGTCTACAAAATATACTCTGAGAAACAATATTATAATGGTTAAGAACATGGGTTTTTAAAACCAAGACTCACCTGCCTTTGTTAATCAAGACTACCTTCTACTTATTAACTGTGTCAATATGGGCAAATTCATTTTACCAATTTGAGTCTACCTTTCCTCATCTATATGAAGATAATGATAACACATCCACCTATGTGATGGTTAAATGAGAAAAGACATACAAGGTGATTGATTGGTACAGTACTTCCCACATGGTAATTATTCAATAAATGTTTTAGTCAAGTTATTGTATTACCAGTATTTTCAAAAGTACCTTTTCTAATCAAGGCCTTCTGAATCTAGTTGGTTCTGGTTCAAGAACTCACATTAATTAGATGCCCAGTTACATGAATTCAAGTTACTCTCATTCACATCTAAGTGATCCATGTTTTCCATGATAACCTGCTCAAAATTGGAGTGGTGTATCAAAAGGAAGCCTCAAGATGATATTAATGACATACCATTTCTCACCAGGTTTCTCGGCAAAACTGCAAACTGGGAGATTAGATTTCGCTGCTCTACCAATTCCTGTCATTCCTTCCATTGCATAATCCCCACATATGAGTGTCCCAACTGACTGAAAAAAATGGCTAAAAACTCAGAAGTAATTAATTTTGGTCATAACTCCTTCATTGCCAATTTCCCATAGATTTAATGTAACTAATGACAAGATTTAAGTTCTTCGTGTTTTTTATCTCAGGATTGACAGTTTTATATTTGTGTATGTGCATATATATATGAAATTGTTATCTTTTTTTATTTCTGTATTTTTACACAGTGGATATTCAATAATTTGGACACATTTTTTAAAGAAACTGTGTTTAGGTAGGATCTTAGAAGCACCGATGTAGTATCTTCAATCATATAAAATTATGTGAGATAAATATTTACACAAAGAATAGGCTCCATGTTACAGCTGCTAATTACTCTTAAGTAGCATTCATGTAAAGCTTTTGGAGTAGCAAATGACTTCCATTGAAATTACCAGCTCACCAAGAAGAAAGCTACCGAGACTGTAAAGTCCTCCTGGCTGGGACAATGTATTTGCCACTGACAAAGCCAAAACAGCAACATACGCTGTAGCAAAATAATTAAAATGAAGTTCTTGCCATAGTATAGGTATTCAATGCATGTATGTTAAATGAATGAATGAATGTACAAACAATGGTTACCTATATACACATCAAGTATAAGCACATTATTATTATTAAGTTCTGGGATACACGCATAGGATGTGCAGGTTTGTTACACAGGTAAATGTGTGCCATGGTGGTTTGCTGCATCTATCAACCCATCACCTAAGTATTAAGCCCTGCATGGATTAGCTATTTATCCTGATGTTCTCCCTACCATCACTTTCCCTGACAGGTGCCAGTGGGTGTGGTTCCCCTCCCTGTGTCCATATGTTCTCATTGTTTGGCTCCCTCTTATAAGTGAGAACATGTGGTGTTTGGTTTTCTGTTCCGGCATGAGTTTGCCAAGGATAATGGCTTCCAGCTCCATCCATGTCCCTGCAAAGGACATGATCTCATTCCTTGTAATGGCTGCAAAGTATTCCATGTACCATATTTTCTTTATCCAGTCTATCATAGATGGGCATTCGGGTTGATTCCATGTCTTTGTAAGCATATTATTTTATCTTAAAAAAAAAAACACAACTAGAGATAAGCAATTTTCCCAATAAAACTGAGAGCCTACCTAATCCCTACAGGTTGTTACACTAATAACTGAAATTTAAATTACTTTTAGCTAATTTTAACTTGGCAAATTAAACAATCTTCCTTTTTTAAGATATGTGAACTATTAAACATTTCAGTAAGGAATATGTAGTTGGGGCAACTTAATATATAACTCTTAACTTGAAGTCAGATGTGCTCTTAAAGGCAAAGAGGTCCACTAAGTGGTAACATCACTTTTATTTTCATGTGTAAAACCAAACGATATAAAACACTACTTTTCCTCTATGTTGAAATTAAACGAAACAGTACTCTTTCTAGAAAACTCATGCCTACCAAGACCAACTGTACCTTTAGGACTTTGAGTAAACATAACAGTAGACCTCAGTTTGGTTTTAGCTCTATTGAATACAACCTTGCTTCACAAGCGTATTACTTTACCTTATATAACTTTATGAAAATCATGTTTCCTATTTTAAACATAGAGTAACTTGGAAAAAACAAGCAATATAATCAATTTGAAGGATTTATATTTTGCTGTCTGAATTATGAGAGGTATGAATAGCAAAAAATTGAAGAGGTTGAGAATGGCTGTTTAAAAAGATAAAAAAATATAATATTTTTAGATAAAATCTAAGATAAAATAATTTTAAAATATTTATAATATTTTTAAATGTTGATACCTAAACTAATAATTATGTCAAAGATTTTATAACTCTAGAGCATCATATCATTACAATTTCTGCATTGAGTGCGCAATAAATATTTTTTTTTTTTTTTTTTTTTTCCGAGACGGAGTTTCGCTCTTGTTACCCAGGCTGGAGGGCAATGGCGCGATCTCGGCTCACCGCAACCTCCGCCTCCTGGGTTCAGGCAATTCTCCTGCCTCAGCCTCCTGAGTAGCTGGGATTACAGGCACGCGCCACCATGCCCAGCTAATTTTTTGTATCTTTAGTAGAGACGGAATTTCACCATGTTGACCAGGATGGTCTCGATCTCTTGACCTCGTGATCCACCCGCCTCGGCCTCCCAAAGTGCTGGGATTACAGGCTTGCGCCACCGCGCCCGGCAATAAATATTTTTTAAATGATAGGCAAAGAAGGATTTGTGCTTTTTAGGGGAGTTATTGTCCTAAGAGTTTTTTCTGACTGACTTTTAATGGTGAGGTTGAAATTCTCTCTAAAGCTTTCAAAAATAGCAAGTAGAATATATACCTACCAGTAATTATATTTATGTTTTCCTGTAACAATCAGAGATTTTCTTCCATTTTTTTCAGAAAGTTCAAAATGCAGATGGCTTAACCAAGTTATGAGTTTAAATCTAGTTGCTCAGAAAAGCCAAAGGAAAAGATAATTGCCAAAGCTAAGATTTAAAATGTATCTAAATTAAGGATATTAAGCTGTATTTTAGTTGTTTAGCATATATGTACACCTACTAATCCAATGTTTTATGGGAGAAAGATCTATACAATCACAATGAAACATAAAGCTTTCAAAACAAATGAACTGTTTGTAGTTAATGCTGAGAAGATACTACTGAGTTTGCATATACCTCAAATTTGTGTGAATTAGGCCACTAAACGATTTTTCTGCCTCTTTTTATTCCCTAGGTCAACTTCTGGTTATGCAAATACTTATGAGAGCTCCTAGCACAATTAATTTTTTTTTTAATTAAAGCTATTCTGGAGAAAAGATCTTGTTATGAGAAAGCGATGTTGAAAAAGGTATTTGCAGTATCTTCCTTCTATACTCCCACCACCATCATGACACCACTACCGCTTATGCCATTGAAAAGACTCTGTATTAGCACAATAACAAAAGTACATACTTATATCTGCATTGTATGTTACCATTTATAGAATACTCTCACATACATTATCTTGCTTAATCCTCATGAATGAATGAATGAATGAATGTTCATTCCTTGTTAGGTTACCACAGCAAGCATTATTAGCCCCAAGTAGATAATGTAACTACCCAAGTACACAATATGGCTGGATAATTACACGAGTCCCTGGTAGCTAATGAGTGACTTTTCCACTACCGTAGTATAAACTTTATATTAAATTAAGTACTATAAGTACTATATTCAAATACCTTCCTGTGGTTACCTTCATATGTAATAAGATGTTACGTGATTTGGAGAAAATAATTTATCATGTACTTGCAGTAACAATATTTTATTTTAGGACACAGTGGTTACCAATTAAAGTGTACAGTGTTTGATTAGCAGATTCAAAGTCAGAGTATAGACAGATATATGGAATATGTGCAAGAATGAACACAATGCTGTACTCACAGGTGGAGAGACAAATGCACAGAAAAAAGACAAACTATCTAACACTATCTATCTTAGCTACAGTAGCTGAAATATAAGGGGCACTAGAATATTCAAATGACAAGCTACATAACAATTATAAAATATATGTAGCCTGACAGATTTAGGAAAGTTAAAACGTATTCATTTTGCTGAACTAACAATTCAAGAACACACTGAGCAGGAGACCATAACTGGTAGGGAGACATACACCACAGCAATAAGACACCGTTGCCATAGTCTCCTCTCTCATTGGATCTTCACCAAAACATGTACATGCTAACATGTCTCTAAGCTGAACTGTAAAGTTGTCTCATTTTTGTTCCAGATGGAACTATAGTACCTATTTTTTCCAGTAGGAAAAGCAGTGTACACTCATTGTGAAAAAATTTAAAACACAGGAACAAACACACAAAGTACAAATGAAATTCCCCATAATCCTACTCTACAGACACAACCACTGTACAGCTTGATTCATATTTTCTAAACTTTTTCATCTGTCTGTGAAAATATATATGTATAATCAAATATAAATATTTCATGTATAAATATATTTACAGTACAGAAATATATCAGTAGGAGCCCATATTATATGCTACGGTCTTGTTTGTGTTTCCTCAAAATTAATACATTGAAATCTAATCCTCAATGTGATATATTTAGGAGGTGGGGCCTTTGGGAGGTGATTAGGTCATGAGGGCACTGTTCAGGATTAGTGCCCATATAAAAGAGACCCAAGAGAGCTAACTTGTCCATTCACTGTGTAAGGATGCAGTGAGAAGATGCCATCTGAGAAAGCGGGTTCTTACCAGACACCATCGGCATCTTGATCCAGGACTTACCAGCCTCCAGAACTATGATAAATAAATTTCTGTTGTTTATCAGTCTAAGGCATTTTGTTATAGCAGCTCAAGAGAACTAAGGCATTATAATAAACTGCTTTAGCTATTAGATAATAATAATACATTAAAAAACCCAAATGAAATCATACCATGCATAGTATTCTACAACTTACTATGTTTTAAAATCTCTTAACTATTTATTTATTTTCTTTTTTTGTTTCTTTCTTTTTTCTTTTTTTGACTGCAAGCTCATCCTTAAACAACTTATTTTTTAACATTACAGATTCCCTAATTCCAAGGGTAATTCTTTTCCCAGCTGCACTGGATTTAGAAAGAGAAATTTCATTTACTATATGATACAATTAGAATACATCATTTTTGAGACGCTAGACTTATTTTCATCTATAAATGCAAAAAAAAGTTAAAAAACCATCTTCATTACAAAAAAGGAGGTTTTGTTTTTTTGTTTATTTTTTGAGACGTGGTGTCCCTCTGTCACCCAGGCTAGAGTGCAGTGGTGTGATCATGGCCACTGCAGCCTCAATGCCAACATGCCTGGTTTTTTTTTGTAGATACAGGATTTTGCCATGTTGCCCAGTCTGGAAAAAAGGAGTATTTTAACTAACTGTATCTAAATCTAGTACTCAAATAAAAAAATCTAATTGATGACTTAATTTGTCATATTTCTGGAGGAGGGAAATCTGTAACAAAAGCTCTGGCCAGGCAATCTCATTTCTAGTCATTTATCTTATAGAAATAATTAAGAAAATGTTCAAATATTTAGTCTCAAGGCTATTCATGGTAATGCTGTTTACAATAGTGAAAAAACTGGAAATTATCTAAATGTCCACCAACAAAGAATTGGTTAAATACACTGTGGCATGTTTAATTGATGGACTACTACACAGTTTAAAAATAATTTTATAGGAATATATTAATTGATTTGAAATATTTTCATATTACGTGAAGATACAGGGTTACAAAACCATACTTATATTTTTAAAGTAGTTAAACATGTATCTACTCCCAAGCCATTTTACTCCCAGTATTTAACCAGGAGAAAAGAAATCTTATGTTTATAAATGGATTTGTATATGAATATTCACAGCAACTTTATTTGTAATAGCCAGAAACTAGAAACAACTAAAATATTCACCAATGGGTGAATGGATAAACAAACTGTGGCATATGCACACAAGAGAAAACAAGTCAGCAATAAAAATGAACTACAGATAAAAGCAACATCATGGATGAACCTCAAAAAGTTATGCTGAGTGAAAGAAACCAGACAAAACTAAGAGTATACACTATGTTATTCTATTTCTGTTAAATTCTAGAATATACAAGCTAATCTATACACAGCTCTAGTGACAGAAAGCAGATCAGTGGTTGCTTGGGGGTGAGGGGATAAGAAGGAGCAGGCAAGAGGGAAAGATTAAAAAGGGACATGAGGAAACTTAGGGGTGGTGGACACATTCATTGTCTTGATTATGGTGATGGTTTCATGGGTTAATACACATGCCAAAACCGTTCAAGTTGAATACTTATTTAATTTATTTACTTATTTTGAAAGGAATTTTACTCTTGTTGCCCAGGCTGGAGTGCAATGGCGCAATCTCGGCTCCCTGCAACCTCTGCCTCCTGAGTTCAAGTAATTCTCCTGCCTCAGCCTCCCAAGCTGCTGAGACCACAGGCATGTGCCACCATGCCTAGCTAATTCTGCATTTTTAGTAGAGACGGGATTTCATCATATTGATCAGCCTAGTCTCAAACTCCTGACCTCAGGTGATCCACCCACCTTGGCCTCCCAAAGTGCTGGGATTACAGGAGTGAGCCATCGCACCTGGCCACGCTGAATACTTTAAATGTATAGTTTATTGTATATCAATCATACCTCGATAAAGCTGTAAAATACATACAGACAGTCATGCAGTGCACATGCACAAAAACTATACTTATGCTATCATCCCACTGCTTTTGTTTGAAATATAAAACACAAATGAAAGTGTCTAAAACATAAATGTGTAGTTTAGTGAGTTATTTTAAATACCTATATAACTACCATGCAGGTCAAGAAATAAAAAATTACTAGCACTCCAGAAACACCTCACCCATACTTCCATTCCTAAGCACAACTTCCTCCCTCTCATCCTGCACAGGGTATTCTGATTTTCTGGTAGTTGCTTCCTTGTTTTTTTTTTTTTTCCAGATGGAGTCTCGCTCTTGTTGCCCAGGTTAGAGTGCAATGGTGCGATCTCAGCTCACTGCAACCTCTGCCTCCTGGGTTCAAGTGATTCTCCTGCCTCAGCCTCCTGAGTAGCTAGGATTACAGGCATGCACCACCAGGCCCGGCTAATTTTGTATTTTTGGTAGAGATGGGGTTTCTCCATGTTGGTCAGACTGGTCTCAAACTCCTGACCTCATGTGATCCACCCGCCTCAGCCTCCCAAAGTGCTGGGATTACAGGGTGAGCCACAGTGCCTGGCCTATTTTTTGTTTTTTAAAAGTAATTTTAAAAAGTACGTAGTCCTCAACAACACACCTTAATTTTGGATTTTACATACATACAAGGTGCTCTTCCATGTTTGCTTTCTTTCCCTCAACAACATATTTATGAGTCATTCACACTGAGTGTAGCACACTGGCTTTGTTGCTGTACTGTTATGACTATACTACAATGTATTTATCCATTCTACTGTTGACATTTTGAGAAAATAACACTGCTATGAATGTTCTTTTAGGTGCATCCTGGCTTATATGTACATGAAACAGAGTAAAACTACAGGGTCATGGGATATATTTGCTTTTCATTTTACTTAATACTTTATACGCCACCAGCAGTACATAAGAGTTCCTGTTGCTCCATATCCATGTATTCTCTTCACAGCACTTGTTGCTACCTGAAATTTTCTTGCTTATGTTAACATCTTCCCTCAGTCTCGATTATATCTCCATGAGAGCTGGGACTTGGTCTGACTTGTCCCCTGGCTTTACTCTTGGCATAAGGAACAGTGACCGAAACAATGCTTGACACTTTACAGACTCTGAACAAGTATTTGTTGAATTACTAAATGAGTAAATGAAAATCCCAGGCCAATAGTAACTTCAGCCAGGAGTGCAGCAGAAGGACAAATGGCCTTTCTTAGTGACTCAAAAAAATGCTTATATGTTATGTAATTTAAAATGGTTACATAATAACTTATTGAGGTTCCAACTATGGAAACACACACACACACACACACACACACACACACACACACACAGAATAAAAAGCTTTTAAGTGTTAGTTTAAAAACTTGTAAATCAAATTCCTCATATAATATGGTAGCAAAACTTCATAACAGTTTCTGAGCTTTTTAGTTTTCCTGTTCTTCAGATTCCTTTGTTTTACAGTATGAGACATACTGTATGTTTAGAATATAAGATGAAAAATAAACTAACAGGTAAGTGTGTAGCAGAGCTTTTTTTCATTAAAGCAAATTTGAGTTTTCCAAAACTTGTAATGATGATAAATCTTAAACAGTTGAAAGGCTGAGAGCAGTCACTCAGAAAATGAGGTATGTGC